GAGAAGATATATTGCATTTTAATGTTGATATAACAGAGAAATGATAGAAACTGGCACTTACAACAATGGTAATTTTAATATGAAGATGATATGTCAGAAATTGAAAAGTAAATGACAAAAGCAAAAGGCCCAGAAAGAGGGAAATTCAAGATGAGGATCAAGAAACAGTTGAATCTTAACCAACAAAAACAACGCATGCTCGGTTGTTTAATAAAAAAACATAGATTTCAAGATCAAACATATTGCATCAGTGAGATGATAGCATTTACTTAGGAATTCTATCAGGGTCTTGGCTACTTGGGCCACAGTGGACTAACAAATGGAAGTCAGAAGCCCTCAAGTAGCACATTTGGGGATATTCAAATACACTTCAGGTCTCTCGTAATAGATCCACACAAATGGTTAGAATGCATGCAAAGAAAAGAAGTAACAGGCAAGATTTTCCATAGCACCCACTTCTCGGTTGCCCTTTAGTTTAATATCTTCACATGGTTGCAGAAGCATATGCATCTGTCTCAAGCAAAGGTTCTTAGAGGTCAGGATTAATCATATCAATCTGGATTCATAATGATAGTATGTCAGGATTTGGGCAGCAATAAAAAACTCAATACTCTATTGAGATCTGTCCAAACGTGCTTCATGCAGATATGTAGACATAACATTGGAAATAGAAGGTCATGATCTAAGGGTATGTTTGCCAATGAAGTCATACAGGACAACCATCTGATTGATCCGCAATATGCAGAGACAAGAACACATTTGGTTTGAAAACCAGTCCAGTCAAATTCCATGAAGTGCGCTCCTTACGGGTGAACTTAGTGCATGGGCTATGCTATCTGCTTTTTATTGTTGGCTGGACCATTATATTATTGTAAAGGGACATTGCAGCAGGCCACCCAAACAGGGCCCTTGATGTTTTTTTCATTTCAGTTCTAGAACTGGAAATGTTTCCTTATGAAGGGGGCACTTCAACCTAGATCAAAATCCTAGAATCATGGATTGACATAAATCTGATGCTATTCCACCCTACAAATAGTTTGAATATCATCCTCATCACCATCCAAGCCTTATCCCTACTATTTGGGGTCGGCTTGAATATTCAAATACAACTAGCTTGAATATGACATATTGAATAATGCTGGGGGGAACGAATACTGTGGCTGATTAGAGAATATCTCTTGATTGAATGTTGATCTTTTCAGGCACCTTTTGCTTCTTCATAAATAATTCCATGAGCAGGGTGCTTAGTTGCAAGAATGATCAACTTAAATAGGTTGCTTCTACTAAAAACGATATATTTGGCTATTTGGACTTCTGTTTTAAATTGAAACAGAATTTTCACTAGAAAACAAATCATTCAATGAGGTAGCATCCATTAAATGGCACAATGATTCCATGTCACAATGACTTCAGTGTTGTAGTTTTACTACACCATCTATGGCCAATATCTTGTACCATAGGAAGATCTGCAACGAGGCTAGATTAACTTCCAATCAAAATGTTGGGCTAAAGTGGGTACCTCTGGTTGGCGTCTGATCACAAATTTAAGCAAAACTACCATGTACACTTAAAAGAGTTCATGTTGTAGTCTCCAAAATGAAGTTATGCTTAGGTAGCCACGATAAAAGAGTGTAACAAGACTGGTAAAATGAAATTGGTTCGCAAGTGGATGCCAAAGAAGTAGTTAGTCCATGTTTTTCTTTATTCAGATTTACGAAAAAAAAAATTGAAAACACTGACAAATCAACTGCACCAGTGTCAAGTTAAATCAGTAGGTTATGAATGAGCAAAAAACCAAGTTCAACACTTTCAACGTTGATATATCGATCTATATGTGTCTGAACATAGGGAACAGATATCATGATCCGGCTGGACCTTCCACATTAGCATTCCCTTTTCCCTAGCCGTGCACATTTGAATGACCATTGACCAGTCCATCTTATATTATGGGAACAGGCAGGCCCTTGCATCATGGGCTGCCAAGACCTATGCCATGTGCTTTTGATGGGTACCCAGCCGGTATCTTTTCCAATTGACCCTCCCCGTTCCCAGTCTGGACCAATGTGATGTGAATAGGGGAAAAGGGAACACCAATGGGTTTCTCCAGACTGATTCAAACATATTTATATACAAATAACTCTAGAAAAGAAAAACCAGGTTTATCAGTATCTCACACATGAGTTAATCTGTAAACTCGCCCCCTCACGATGGACAGTGAAGCTTGATGAATGATGAGCTTGCTTTCAAGCCAATGAAGGATATCCTCGGATATCCTCAGGAAATGCATAAAAAACATATGACAAGCAACTAAGCGAGAGGCTTCATATATTGTCTCAAGATGACCAAAAAACCATAAAGAAGTAATCAATCTAAATGCACAGGTATGACTACAAAACCTCAAGTCATAATAGAATAAATGGAATGATATTATCACAATATAAAGAGGCCACCTTAGAGAAATAGAGATGACGATCAAAATAAAAGGATGGTCCATGAGGGAATTTCTCCAGAGGTGGATGCCATAACAATATTCTGCCTCAGAACAGAGGAATCAACAATGGGTGCATCTTACATACCAGAAAACCCAATTAAACCCCAAGAGAATATAATCGGTTGTGGAGCATCGAACATTAGGGCAACCACTCAATTAGCATCTGAATAGTAAAGAAGGTGAAGAGAGAATATATGGTAAGAAAAATGATAAGAGAGCACCTAGAATAATTCTTAAAGTTTAGTGTTGTAGAAGAGAAACCCTTGCTTTAGAGGATACTATATAGAGAATGCCACACCCACACTCAAAATGAGACAGCTGTTGTATTTCAATGACGTATATGTATGTGTGGAAAGACGCACAACAGAATCACAGATCCACTATAATATGACAAATGTAAAGATGTCTTTGTAAAGATACAATGGTAAATACACACAGACAATGGATGCATTGATGATAATCCAACTACATACAGTCCAACCAAAATCGATCTTCATTTTTATGGATCTCGAAGAAATATCAGAGATTGTTTACCTGCCGGCGGAATACTCCACAAAATGTGCAGTTGTTTTTCAACCCAATCTCCTTCACAATTTCGTCCATTGTCCAGCCATATAGAGATTTGTAGGAGACAACCTTCAGTGGCAAACCATACTGCAAAAATGATACTTCAGGCAGAGGTTAATATGAGAGCATTCCATATGAAAGATACCATCAAAATCAACAAGAGCATAGCCATTGTAAGCCAAACTCTGACATTGAGGTTAAGCAAACAATCATTCTAGAAAAGTTTAAAAGAGAGCACATTTCCACATGACAGAAACCCCCTCTGTTTTAACATTTGTGAGGCACACAATTGTCTCACTAGAAAATACACACTAAATTTATTAGTTAAACTTCCTATCACACAGTACCATACCTTCTAACAAATATATTCTCTCTTGATGTATGAAAAGTCAAGTTGACTTAAAAATTCTCCTAATAGCTGGCATGTGATCCATGCTAATTGCAAAGCTATTATGATCCACTTCATAGAAAACTTCAAGCATAATCAGATTGTTCTTAACTGATGGATGAACCAACCCTAAAGTATGAATCTAATGGTTCATCTAATGGTTCATTTTCCATCAGCATATCTTTTTTGATTTCCAAAATCCCAGATCCAATAACTGCTCTAGAACTTCTTCTTCCTTTGTCAAATTTGTACAGCGTCATACACATAAATTCACTTGGCTAAAGTTTTCGATAAGCACATAAACTAAGTAAATGATTCAGAAAAATAAGGAAAAGTTTACAACCCAAGAAACCACGTCCAATTTTTAATTTGCCACCCAAAAAAAAAGGAAAGAAAGAAAGAAAAAAAACTTCTCAATTAACATATGATATGGAAACATTAAAATAATAAGAAAATTGAACCATCATATTGCCATTGTTTCAGTCAGACATGTGGTACCCGTCATACACAGGCCATTGCAAATCTCCTCTCATCATCATTAAAATTTCCAGGAAAATTAGTTACGGTCTCTCTCCCTAGAAAGAAGCATTGCTTATTTAATTTCAAGAACAAACTGAGTAAACAATATCAGAATATCTGAAGAATAATTTCATAAGATGATACTAGTAGCACCCACAGGCTCCAAGTGAGTTGAATTATGGAGTGGCTCATCAGGATGATATAAATGTCAGAATTTATAAAAGGAAACCGCAGCAAGGAAATTACGAATGAAACTAGCTCCAAAGGATTTGCTTTTGTTGGAAAATAGAGAGATAAGTATACCTGTATTTCATTTCGCTTGACAGTCTCCAAGGAATCATCCCTATAACCAGTAATCCCTTCATCAATTGATAGAAGAAAGAGATCCAAGCCATAATTGTGCCGACGGTTCAGCTCTGACAATACATAAGCAAGAACAGTGGAATCTGCACCCAACCAGCAGTTTATTGACAACACAAGCTTCGATGGCATTAAATCATACAAACCAATACACAATGTTTTCTGTGAAAACATTTCATGTATGGAAACAGGTACCATATGTCATGCCTTTCCAGAGTGTTTTATAATGTTCCATCTAATTAGCATTGAATTTTCGTCAAAATTAAACTCAATGGAGAAAATAGAGAAAGAATTAACAATGTACACCAAACTGGAAAAGGTAGCTATAATACAATAACTAAATAACAATACTCACCTGAAAGTTTGAAACAAGTGCAACGAGCCTGGAATCGGAAGGATAAGAAACTGAGGTGTAAAGAACAGTACTGGAGAAGAGATGCTTGATATTTAACAGAGCAAGATTACAGAACCAAGATAAACCAAAATCCCAAAACAGAGAGGTACACATTCTACTCCGCCATTCCTTTTAACCAAATAGTGATATGTTACCTTGAGTAAATCAACAGATTTAATACGCGTCAGCGAAATAATTCCTTTGAAACTTGTCAGAGCGCATCTCCTATTATAAAGGTTGACTCTATGATGTAATTTTGGAAAACAAGATTACAAATTTCACCAATAGCTGGAGGTGGTATGCTTTAAATTTTGATTTGGATTCAAAAGGTAAACACATATAAAGCAGATGAAAGTGAGTGATGTACATGATAATACATCAAAAAGCCAATTAACAGGTAATTCTGATCCTCCTGGTTGAAATGTGCACTAAAGCCCACGATACACATCCAATTTTCAATATATCAAAGGTACGTTACATAACTAATAGACAAGGCGGGAGGAGAACTTTCACGGTCATGGACTTCCTGGCTCCACAATTCCAGATTGTAAAGTGGCTACTCAAAAAGCATATTTCCTCAAAGTCTCAATGTTGCATTGACAGCCAAACCATTTCCTAGCTCATCCATGTATGAAAAATTAAATTTACCATGAGGACATTTCTGGGCTCCTGGAATAATAACTTTTTTGTTTCCACTAATAGTGAAACAAATGTGTAACTTTAGTGTCCACATTAAAATGTCATGTACAAACTTCAATATATTTCTTCATGTGAAAAAAGCAAGAATCGATCAATTTAACATATGGAAGCAAATAGAAGTGACCGCGTTAGTTACTATAACACATTATGTTCATATTAGCAGTAGCAAGTCGAATGTTTGGCATGTTTCAAATAGCCCACATCTATACTTGGTGCACATAATGGGCCAAATTAAGAAAAAAGGTCAAAATTACTATATCATGTTTCTGGACGATTATCATGAGATAAATTGACGTTTCTAAAAGAATGCAATTCTTGCAACATATTTCAATCTTACATTAGCCAAGGATAGTTATGAAGTTCGATGAGAAATGGAAGTCTTAAATCAAACATTTGAGGAGAGTGACTATTTAATGTTTTTCATGAGCATCTATGTATCAATGGAATAGGATAACACCAGTTAAGTACTTAAATCCACAACAACATGTTGCCAAATAGAAGGAAATCCATTAGATGAATGCCAATTTTGTTGCAATGAATCACAATATGATCCCTATGATCATGGTAAGAGTATTGCCGTAATGGCCATCATGTTCCTGTAGTATTTGTCCAGAAATAATGTTTCGCGTGTTTCAAATAGCCCACATCCATACTTGGTGCACGTAATGGGCCAAATTAAGAATATCATGTTTCTGGACGATTATTGTGAGATAAATTGACATTTCTAAAAGAATGCAATTCTTGCAACATATTTCAATTTTACATTAGCCAAGGATAATTATGAAGTTCAATGAGAAATGGAAGTCTTAAATCAAACATTTGAGGAGAGTGACTATTTAATGTTTTTCATGAGCATCTATGTATCAATGGAATAGTATAACACCAGTCGAGTACTTAAATCCACAACACCATGATGCCACATATAAGGAAATTCATTAGATGAATGCCAATTTTGTTCCAAATATGATCCCTATGATCATGGTAAGAGTATTGCCGTAATGGCCATCATGTTCCTGGAGTATTTGTCCAGAAATAATCCTAACCAGAGCACAGCTTCTAAGTTAGCCACCATTGTAAAGCATTCAACATTCCTTAAATCCTAACAAGAATGCATAGAAGATTAAGCAAACACGTATTTAGTGCTACCTGGTTACTCCTTAATCCTAATAACATAACATACGGAAGTCATTGTCATAGTGATTCATTGTTTTCCAGGAGTAGACTGACTATTCCCTTGAATTAATTTCCCCTACCATAAGATGTAAGACAGACCTCATTCCCATGCCTCTATAGGGATAATTCGAGAGTAGGTGATTGACAGATTGTAAGCTGTCGGCAAAACTAGTTGAACTGTCATAGACAGTGTCTTGACCAACAATGATAGAATTTAAAAAGGAATAATAGGGATGGAAACTTGAAGGGGCAACTTGTGGGGAATCGCAGAGACGAATACCAACATGTTTAAGAGTTGGAACTTGGAACATAAGGGGCTGAATGACCTAGAGAGAAGAATACATCGCCACGAATGAATCACAATCTCACAAACTATATAGTTGATGTGACGCTCATAAATGAGGCAATACCTCAACTAGCTATTTCTAGTGGAGTATCAACAGAAAATCAGTAGTGCTTGTTGAAGTGGATAGTGCCAGGGAATTTAGACGTATTTGGTGCTACCTGGTTACTCCGTAATCCTAATAACATAACATACGGAAGTCATTGTCATAGTGATTCATTGTTTTCTAGGAGTAGACTGACTATTCCCTTGAATTAATTTCCCCTACCATAAGATGTAAGACAGATCTCATTCCCATGCCTCTATAGGGATAATTGGAGAGTAGGTGATGGACAGATTGTAAGCTGTCGGAAAAATAAGACTTATGTAGCTAGTTGAACTGTCATAGACAGTGTCTTGACCAACAATGATAGAATTTAAAAAGGAATAGTAGGGAAAAATGGAAACTTGAAGGGGCAACTTGTGGGGAATTGCAGAGACGAATACCAACATGTTTAAGAGTTGGAACTTGGAACATAAGGGGCTCAATGACCTAGAGAGAAGAATACATCGCCATGAATAAATCACAATCTCACAAACTATATAGTTGATGTGACGCTCATAAATGAGGCAATACCTCAACTAGCTGTTTCTAGTGCAGTATTAACAGAAAATCAGTAGTGCTTGTTGAAGTGCCAGGGAATTTAGACCTTAGTTGCATGTTCCTATAAGCATTCAAATTGCCAGGCATATGGTGATTGATATGTGAACCATTTCCACAAAATCAAGAAGTCTATTAACACAATCCTGCTCCTGAACCACAAAGACATTCCCACTACATTCGTATTTGGATATTTTGCGATCTGAAGTAAATTGGGGATAGGCTGCAAGCAGCTTAGCACACACTTGTTCTCAGTCTCACTGAGAGATTTACCCAATAAAAAACACTCACTGACAGCAATCATTTGGCTTAAATATGGTGTAGGATCCCAATAATATCGAGGCTGGTAAATAGAGTGATGGAAGCTGGTGGTTCAAGGAAAGACTAAGTGGTGCAAAATAACCAGGTGAAACTTGGTCGTTTAAGGGATATATATGTGCCCCTGGCTTATGTACTCTGCTTGGCAGAGATTAAGTGAAATACAGAGATTAGGAAAACTAGAAGCAGCCCACAATGAGGCATGATCAACCCTCATAGCTAGTGAGTGGTTTGGCTCACTCAAAGATAATGCAACTAAGGTTGAATACCATAAAGAGCAGCACTATGATAGTCGATTAGCCAAATGTGTAGCTTTGAGCCCCAATTTTTATGAAAAGATGAAGTACATAGAGCCCCACCCTTTAAATAAAACCATGGATCATTTGGTTGCTTTGATCACTAAAGTGATTCCGCACAGTAACCAGATGTCATAAGAACGTAGTGAAATGCAATGAATCATCGAGTCCTTGAATTGCAACCAAGGTTGGCAGGCAGGGGACACACCTGCCCGGGTGTCATTCACTAGAGGGGCGTCAATGGGAGGAAGATAGCTGCCTGTTCCCTGCCCATTCTGGTGGCTGAGCGGTAGGCTCAAGCTCAGGCCGGAGCATGCTGGTGACGTGACAAGTGGTGAAAACTTAGAGTAAAGAAAAAAGATGTCCTAAGTTCAGAACCTCTGTCTGTAGATCGACAAGAGGTCATTTATGACCCTAAGATATGTATATGTGTATGTACATATATATGTATATATGTGTTTGTGTATGTACATCTAAGGGAAGAACAGCTAATTTTTTCTTCTTTTCATTCACAATAAATTCTTGCCTCACTTGTTTGTAGTGAGGGGCATTTAAGTACAAAAGAACATATGTTGGAATGTTTTTTTTTTTTGTTTTTTGAGAGAAATCATATGTTGCAATGTTATGTTGAGAATTGTGATTCACACTCATAAGAATTGTTCTAGCACTCTCTAATGATGCTTCTTCCCTCAATTCTCATCCAACAGTATCATCAAAACAAAAATTTGCTAGCAATTGTCAATTGAAGACGGTGCACATGGAAATAGAGAAATGAGAATTTCAGCAGATAGTGGGAACCACTAATGTTTCAAGGCTTAGAATACAAGGGAAAGTTGTGTTTGCAGAAAAGCACATGCATGGCATATCTTTTAACAACAACTAGAGATTTGTGTATGTGATATCTTAAGTCAGCAAAAATAAAAAACAGTCTTGGAGGCATACCCAAAGTTCCAAGATCAAGTATCTCACATCACAAATCCAAGTGGAAACCAAGGTCAAAGTGGCAGTGACAGATAAATTCACAAGATGGAGGTGTTCTATGTTTATAAGAGTGATTATTTTAATATTCAGCTTCTGTTATGAGTATTTTGCTATTTTTGCAAAGGAATTGAGGGATAAACCAAGTCTAGCATGTCCCGATGATATTACCTTTACCACCAGAAGCTCCAATAGCAACACGCTCTCCAGGTTTGAATAGTCTGTTCTCCACAATGACCCTATGGATCTCCTCTTCAAAAGCAAAGTAAAAGCATTCCCTGCACATCTTCACAAACATGAAAGAGGCAGAGACTTAGAATCAATCTTAGTAAAATGCGACCGAAGTCTATCCATTGGAATCAAAAGATAGGCACTGCATATGAAAAAAACACATATTGGATAAATCTAGTATGCAAAAAGAATGGGTACTAAGAACCTTCATAAGACAAAGAAAATACATGCATTTGGACTCGTAAGCCATGATTTAACACAAAGGAACCTGTCATTTCAACCCCAACATTTCAGGTGAGGACCATATCAACATACTAAAGAGACATGCATGAATAGGCCCCATATTATGTACAAGAAGTTTGAACAGCGTGAGGAACCAACAATACACATATAAAAAACGGCAATCAATTTCTAGCTCCAATGCAGCATGAAATGGCTAGCATTTGTGCCTTTCAACGGCATAACTGATCCCATAAAGAATTAAGTTACCCCATGTGAAAAGAGAACAGCTATTTCCATGAATGGGAACCATACTCAAAGACCCAACAACCCAAATTTGATCAATCTAAGTAAAAAACCATAACTGCAGTGCCTTGATCCTCAGTGTGCATTACAAAAAAAAATTCAAATCATACTAGAACTCTATTTTTCAGAAGGTAACAAGAAGCCCATTAGAGATACCCAAAGTGTCAGCTGGTGTAGGCTGCTAAGGTTTCAACAAGGTTTTCATAAGCCCTACAATACTCAATTCATCCATTCTACACTAAGTTTTCAAAGACAGAGATACTGCAGAGTTCTTAAAATAGAGTTGTAGGCGAGGATCTTGAACAAGAATATCCAAATTCTAAATATTCAAACATTTATATGATAAATAGCCCTTTTCCTCTTAAATTTCGATTGATAAAAGGGGTCCAAAACAAAACATACATAGCCAAAATAACCAGACTAAACAAAAATTGGCCTAATCATGTCCTTGGAAACAAATAAGACCAATTGTCGATTTTCAATCTCTCCATAAGCAGAACCAGTCATAATGGTCCATATTCAACTTCTCCATCAGCATAACTAGTCATTCAAATTAAAAATCCTCAAAATTTTGATATCCAGTCGAATTCACAGAGCCAGAAAATATAAAACCATGAGTAGTTCAAATAAAGCCACTACGTCGGTTATAATTTAAACACGGTGAAACTATGTGATTCTCAATGAACAACTAAGCTGAGAGTTACGAGTGAATAAAAAGGTGGGAACCAAAGCAAAGCCATGATTCGTTTGTGAATGTAAAAAAAAAGGAGTAAGAAGGAAATATGAAACCAAATTGGGCACACAGTACCTGCTGTTGGGTCTTTCGCCTTTGAAGCGCTGCTCGGTTCTGGTTGCATATGTTACAGAGACGTCCAGTCTTCTTCGACTTCGCCTCAGCTTCCGACATGAGAGAGAGATTTAGAGAGAGAGAGAGATATATATTTTCTGAATTCTCAGGACGTGAACATAAAAGAATGCACAGCAAAACCCTTCCCTTGCTTTGTGGAACGGTCCACTTATTTTCTTCAAGTTCCCATATTTATTGACTAATTCATTTGAAAGCGAGATCATCGGAACTTTGGCATGTTCATGCTGTTTAAAAATACCAGGTTTTATTGATCTCCATGGAATCCCTCGTTACAGACGAGCAGTGTAGGAAAAATCAAACGTCAACAGTTAAGCGTCGGAAGCACTTCAACCGGCCTAACGGGCGAGTCCTAAGAAAAAAATGTCAAAAAAATACCAAAAATATTTAATAAAATATAAAAAATATATTTAAAGCATGGTTAAACAAAACACATCCAAATAAAATTAAAAAAAAAAAAAAAAAAAATGAAAGAATTGATTTTGTGTCCAATGATATTTTTTTTAAAAAAAAGAGAAAGTGTAAAAATAAGTATTAATAGGCAAAACAATTTCCAATCTTTCCCAAAATGATGAGAAGCATTAAAAAATAAATTACAAACAAAATCCCTTAATTTTTTGAGTTTTTATATAATTTTTTTTAAATGCCTAGCCGGTTTACCAAAACTGACCAAAACCAAAATAAGCAACTGGCCAGTTCCGAGCTAATCGGGTCTAACCAAGCGGTTAGAATTTGAACTACCCGATTTTTCCTACACTGATTTGAACATAATTTCCAAACATTGAAAACATCATTTTCATCGACTGTAAGTACAAGTGTACTCACCAAAAATATATGGTATTTATTACTATTATTTTTTGGATAGTTCAATCGTAGGAATCTAAGTTGAGATGTAGCATAGTCAATATCAATTGCTAACTATTCATGCCCAAACCTGACTCCAAAAAACAAAAAGTAGGTATTTGTTTGGTTTCGACATCAAAGATTTGAACCCGTAACCGTCAACTGCTAATCAATCAAGCCCAAGCCCGATTCCTACAAAAAAAGTGCAGGACCTTGTTTGGGTTTTTCGAACAACTTCAAGGTTTTGAACCCTTAATGTATGATAGACTCTTTATGTTGTTTCTCATCTAGATTTGAGTCCCAAGAATTCTTCAAAAGTGCAAGTTATCCGAGTCACATAATTCTTCAAGAGTGCAAGTCATCCGAGTCACATAATTCTTCAACAGTGCTAGTCATCCGAGTCACATAATTCTTCAACAGTGTATGGATGTGAATTTTCCATCCAAACATCAGGCATAGTAAGTCTAGAAGAGGAAGGGAATTGTCTATAGAAGGGGAAGAGCATTCTCAACCAAGTTTGGTTGTTATTGCCTTAGAACACGAATCCTAAAAATTAAACCTTGAGACCAATTAGTCAATCTATAGATATCTTGTGCCTCAAAAGTTTAAACTTCTATTCTGCGGGAGAATGACCCATGTGGATTTCTGGTTATAGGCATTTCAAAACTGTTTCCTTCTTTTTAACGGCCATTGGAACATTTTGTGGAATCTTTTTAAATAAAGAAAGTGTGTATAATAAGATTGTTTTATCTTTTGTATAAGGACGTCGTAATTTTTTTTTTTAGATTTGAAATTGAAAGGCTAAGAATGTTTCACATATTGAATTCAAAGTCCGAAACAAAAAATTCTTTAACTTTGTAAGGTACACTAAGCTATTCGATTTGCGTTTGATGATAGGATCTTATAATAGACAATCCCTTAAATAAAGGACAAAGTTTATATAGAGCCGAGGCTCTAAACAATCAAATTAGAACCTACCTCAAAAATTTCACTAGAAGAGGCCGTTTTGATGCCCAAATATCCTCAAATTCATCATCTCGATATCAAGATGTATGGACATGAGAAAAAAATGAATTTCATCTTGTAATGCATTTTTAGACCGTCAATTTTCAAGATTTTCCAAGTTTTCATAGATCTGCGCGATCTACATTATTTTTGAAGCTTTAAAGTTTATAATTAAAAATAAAAATATATTTTAAGGCCATCACAAAGATTTCTAATATTAAAACCACATTTCTTGACACTATTTAAAGGTGCTTTTACTTTGCTTATTGAGAGCCTCAAGTCCATACAAACCACACCCTTAAATAAAATATACACATCCACTTAATTAAACAGTGATGTCAATAAAGGGGAACCAGTGATACTTCTTTGACATAACATGCCAAAAACTCACTGGAAAATGCACAAAGACATTAAAAATAGACCAAGAAAATTACAAAGATGACCAAACATTTATCCAAAAAGAAACTAACAAGAAGATTTCTATCTCTCAAATAGATGGAGAGAAAATAAACGCCGGAAAAAGTAGAGAAGTCGTTGAAAAATGGACAGAGTGACTGTAGAATCGCTTAAAAAGAATTCAAGAACATAAAAACTACTGGCGAATGACTCTTATATCTTGTGAAAAAGGCCTGGGCCTCCATGTAAGGACGTTCTGGATGTGCTTGCAATATAATAGGTGCAAGCCAGGACGCACAAAAATTGGATTTGTGCGAGCTAGGACGCACAAATATAATGTCCCAATCACAATGTCACGTCTCTACACTATTTTATTTTTAATTTTTTTTCTATAAACTATTTGACACCAAATTTTGGACATTCATTCCTCTATTAAACTTGCACTGGCGAAAAATATAAAAAAAATATTTTCAAAAAAATAAAATGATCAAAATACCCCTAAAAAATCAAGGGGTATTTTGGCCAGTATACTGTCTCGAAAAGTTATTTTTAATATTTTTTTATAAGTGTGCCCTAATGAGAAGAAGGCACGTACCAAATTTCATATTCATACATTTTGTATAAAAAAAAACTAAAAATAAAATACTTTAAGACGTCGGATCTAAGATCAAACGGTGAGTGGTTCTCTTGATCAAAATTGGACGGCTGGATGGTAGGGGGAGAATAGAACTTCTATGATGTGGGGGAAGCATATAAACCTTTCCCTATTCTAAATAACTAGTATGTGCTTGAACTACCTAAAGTTATCTTTTTGCGAAAGGCTGATGTAGGCTAGTGTGGGCCCTTGATGACATGTGGGACAGTTTGTGACTTGGACTGTTGACATGCCAGTGTGGGTCCCTAAGGTATGTCATTTCCCATGAATTTTATTACATCAAAAGTGTATTTATTATATTTTGTATTTTCGAGGGATATTAATGTCTATAGAAGTTAGAGAGCTAATGTATTGGTTCTTATGTGTTAGGAAGTTGTGGTAGATTTGGAAAATGTAGGATGTTAATAGTGTCTTAAGAAGTTGTAATTCTTTTTATGGGAATTGCGTGCCTTTAAGGAATGTTGACCATTTCATAAAAACAAGTATAAAAAGGGGTGTGCTATGCCTTTCTTTTATATGTGTAATTTTGGAATGAAACTAATGAAATTTAAATAGAAAATCTAAGTAGCAGAGCTTGCCTTCCACAATCTATTTTTCTCTTTAGTTGTTGTTCTATTTTTTCCCCCATCATTTGGTGTCAGAACCTGAAAAGAAGTCTCATCTATTTTTAGAAAATAATCTTATTTCATGGCACAAAGAAGGACTACAGGTAGGGAAGGACATGGCGACTTTTTGGGGGGAACAATGCGAGATTTAAGGAGTTGATGGGGTTGCATTGCCAAGTTGAGAATTTGACTACACAACTTGAGTGTTTAAAAATTCAAGATACGCATGAATCTAGTCAAGACACCTCTACCGATGAGTCTGAGGTTAACCCCTTTGTGGAGTAGTGTCGGCTTGATGAAGGGAATGATGACAGATTTAGGCTTGATAGAGACTCTATCAAACTGGACATAGCAGAGTTCCACGGACAACTACATTTTGAAGAATTTTTGGATTGGCTTAGCACTGTAGAGATGGTTTTTGACTATAAAGAAGCCTCGGCGAAGCTTCGTGTGAAGCTTGTAGGTACTAGATTACATGGCTATGCTTGGAATGGTGGGATCAAATCCAATAGCTTCACCTTCGAAAGAGAATCCTAAGGTCGCCTCTTGGGGAAAGATGAGATCTAAGATGAAGGAGAAGTTCTTACTAATAAGATTACTCGCAGGTTCTCCTTCCAATTCAATAATCTCCCGCCAGAGACTAAGAGCATGTTTGAATATACTGAGATGTTTTAGAAGCTCATGATAAGGAAATGATATACAAGAAATGAATGAACAACTCATTTCTAGGCATGTTGGTGGCTTGAGACTAGCCATTAGACATGGTGGGGATGCATCGTCTATGGAAGATCGATGACGCTTATGGATTACGTCAAAAGTAGAGGTAAAACTTAATTGTGGCAATATTAGACGGTTTACTGACACCCATGGCTCTTTTAAGAGCGGGACATCTAGAAGTAAAGGAATCTCCTAAGAACCCCACTTCTAGCCATGGTGGTTTAACCCCTCTTGATCAAACCTCTAGGCCCCACCATAAGCCTATAACTTGCTTCAAGTATGACCAAATTGCTCACCTTTTAAGTGAGTGTGGGCCCAGATGTAGTTTGACTTACGAATCAATTTGTCAAAAGACAATGAGAAGATGATTTAACTGTGAACAGTTCTAGACCCATCTATGATAAATAGCCTAAACTGGTACATGAAGAGATTGAGCATGAGGTGGGCAAAATCTTGGTAATCCACCATGCTCTAACCACTACGAAGGCTCATCTAGGTGAAGATTGGTTTCAATCAAGCATTTTAAAACTCGATGCAAAGCTGATGGCAAGGTATGCACCAACTTAATTGATGACAGTAGTTTCAAGAACATAGTATCATGAGAAATGGTAGACAAGCTCAAACTAAAAACCGAACCACGTTAGAAGCCATACTGCAGTGCATGGTTCCAGAAAGGCAATGAGGTAAAAGTCTCTCAGCATTGTCTTGTTTATTTTTCTGAGAGAAAGATATATTAAGATGAAGTATGGTATGTTGTTGTTTCTATGGATTTATGTCACACACTTCTCTATTGGCCATGGCAATTTAATGGGGGTGTAATACATGATGGTCACAAAAACTCTTGCACTTTCTAAATGGGAAATGTGGAAGGTGGTAGTCCTGCCTAGCAAGGTGGAAAGTGCTCCCATATCTGGTCAAGAGAAGGGTTGTAGCTTTCTTACCTTATCTATGCTTTTGAAAGAAAGTAATAAGAGTGGAGTTGTGTACGCTTTGGTGGCTAAAGAGGAGATTAAGCCCACAAGTGTGCCAGGTGAGTTGGTGTCCCTTATTGAGGAGTTTAAAGATGTCTTCCGAGATGATATTCCAAGTGGACTAC